GGGTTGAAATAAAAAGAATGGGGATTGGCTTATGTACACTTCACATTGGCACTCACACTCTCACACGCCCAAACACAAAGACACACACTCATACACACACTCAAAAAAACCCTCAATCAACTCTTTGAACAACATTATTGGGAAACGAGGTAAGTTGAGTGCATATGGGGGATCGAGATAAATTGTGCGTGTATGGGGGAATGAGGCAAGTTGAGTGCGATTTACAAGAGGAGGAAGAAAGAAATACATATTAACAAAAAACAGCTTTGATTTAGTTTAAAATCATATACTTGATTAGCCAAGAATTTTTAAAAGAATTATACACACACTCAAACAAACCCTCAATCAACTCTCTGAACAACATTATTAAGTATATAATAGTATATAAAAGAATTATACACACACTCAAACAAACCCTCAATCAACTCTTTGAACAACATTATTAAGTATATAATAGTATATAAAAGAATTATACACACACTCAAACAAACCCTCAATCAACTCTTTGAACAACATTATTAAGTATATAATAGTATATAAAAGAATTATACACACACTCAAACAAACCCTCAATCAACTCTTTGAACAACATTATTGGGAAACGAGGTAAGTTGAGTGCATATGGGGGATCGAGATAAATTGTGCGTGTATGGGGGAATGAGGCAAGTTGAGTGCGATTTACAAGAGGAGGAAGAAAGAAATACATATTAAGAAAAAACAGCTTTGATTTAGTTTATAATCACATACTTGATCAGCCAAAAACTTGGAAAAGAAGTGCAACGAGCTAACTAAACAAAAAAACATCAAAATAATCAGTCATTCATACAAACAATATTAGTTCTTACTATTTTTAAGGAAAAAAAATCAATTATAACGGTTGAATAAATATTTATACTTGATCAAAAATGAACTTAATAAATCGACTAAAATCAATGAAGTTCTTCAGTTTTTTTTCGTGATCAAACCCGCTATAACCAAACTTTTAATCATGAAACTCCAATTCAGTAATTTTGCAGTGAGTGAACTGAAACATTACTTAATATAATAGAAATTTTATTTTCACATATTATTTGAATCATGTGTATAGTTATTATTTATGGTTTCTCTTTAATGATCTGCCATCGTGTTGGAATGTCATTTACCCGAAAATTTCAAGTGTGTGATTTCTCCAAAAGCAAGGAAGTTCTTTGATTTGATTGGTTTCATCTTTCCACGCGCTAAAACCATGCAACTCCCCTTAAATTCTTAAATTTTTCAATTAAATTTCCACGCTGTTTGTTTGCTTCTCTCCTTTTTTTAAAAAAAACCAAGCTTTTTTAACCAAAAAACTGTAATTTACGCTTGTGATTGAGATGCTACTCCATTAATGGCCCTTGTGATTTTTATGAAGCATTTATATAACCTCAGATGACAATTAAAAGTTTCGGTAGAATTTTCGGCAAACTGACACTTCGGCAAGATGAATATTCACTTCCCTTGCATTTACACTGAAAAACTGGCTGGTAATGACAATTTGCTAAATTTTCCATTGTTAGAGGACTTACACTTAACATTTTTTTTGTCTGAGACACATGTGATGAAATAAATAAGCATATGATAAATGTTGCTTCTGAGTTATTTGGAGGCGTTATCTTTTTTTAATTCCATATTAGTGGTTTGCCTTCAAGTATTTCTCTTGAAATCAGCGTCAACTCTCAGATGGCAGTTCAGGGGAAAATTAGGTCTGAATTTCAATCATCTCAGAGGGTCATTTTATGTGGGTGTCCACGCAACATGTTTTTAAATTTTTGAGACACCTATAAATTCAAAAACCAAATAAAAATAACCTAAAAGTCTTCGATCCTGTTTTGACACAATTTTGACATTGAAATCAGCCAAGCAACTTACGTCAGAGTTTGTAAAGCAAATAAAACGAAACCAGTCATTTTGGCGGTTCCAATTACATGTATCTCACGTTTAATTCCACTAGAAGCTAATGAAGCTAATAAGTTTAGGCCAGTTAGCCCAAAAAATGAGCAACTTATTTGAATTTCAAGCGGCACGATATCGAAAAAAGTATAATTCTTTGATAACAACATTATCTTAATGCTGGCATAAAAAGACCTCTCTTTCTTAACTATCTATCGAATGAAAATTTAAGTGTTTGAACTATTCTTTTAACTGTATTTTGTCGATATTTTAGACCAAACAAAACTGATTCGAGCTAGAGGCATGAAAATTAAATTTAGAACAATCAGACAAAAAACATATTACCAAGAGCAATTTACTAGCCTCCAATCAAGTTTGAAAGACTTAGTCAACCGCTTAGGTTTTAGAGTAAAAGATACAGTGCTGATTTAAATTACTAGCAAAAACCGATTAAAACATGAAATTTACAGAGAGGGGAAGTGGCACTTCACATACACAAGCAAAAATTTGACCGATAACGCTACTAGGAAAAACTGAATGAGTAAAACTTTGAGTCTACAAAAACTTATAAATGACGCACATTAGCAGTACCAGTCAATTTGAAAAAAAATTTACAAACTAACATGCCTCAAATTTTAGAGCGGACGCATTTAAACAAGTATACGAAAAATGTCATCAAAAAAATTCAACCCTGCCCAGGTTCGAAACCTTTTATTTTGCTGCTGGTCTCCTTCTCTACCTCTACGCTAGAGATACAAGATGCCTAGAAGCGAAAGTGCCATTTGTAATAAAAGTCTGCGTTAAAAAACTTAGCATTGGCTGTACTTGAAAGCTGGATTAAATGAGCGCTTTCAAAAGAAACACATTTTGTCGCAACAATTGCACCGCAACAAAATTTGCGACTTACGTAGGAAAAAAAAAGAAAATTCTTACTATATCACAAGCTATGCTTGGGTAAAAATGCTTTTTTCTCAAGTTGGGTTTATTTTGGACAAAAACACGAGTAAGGCTATACCTTAGATTTTTAGCGAATTTAAAAGGGCGCGAGTTTTTGCAGAATTCGGGCACAATCTCAAATGTTTCCCTCTAAAACAAAAGTTTCCGTTTTTGTAGTCATTCCCAATTTGAGCCAGAATAAAATGTTTGGTTGCTGAGAAAACTACAATACAAGAAGCTTCTTATGCAGTTCAACAAAGTTTCAGAAAGGTATAGTTTTCAAAAACTATCGCAAAAAGTTTGGAAAATTTTTTTGTTAAAAATTGATTTTTTAAAAAAAAAGTGTCTTTTTTTGGCTATCAAACAAAAGTAAATTCACTTTCGGAAACTTGTGAAAATGAAACAAATAGTTTTCTGACAAGAAGTTTCTCAAGAACTAGTTTTTGAAGTTTTTTATTTCGTTTCAAACGATCTGGCTGGTTTATAACCTGCAAGTTTCAAATGATCTGGCTGGTTTATAATCTGAATTTTTTTAAATGTTTTGTTAATTTCTGCTTTACTTTTTTGAGAGTATTTGCTCATAATTTGTATTTCATTTAGATTTTTAAATTACTCCTTAAATTGTTGAAGAGTTCTAGCTTATAATTTCTAAAACTTTTAGGTTTTGTGAATTTTTGATTTTATTGTTTCAGGTTTTTGGATCGCTTAACTTGTCTTCTTGTGCATAATTCAAACAATTGACTGGTTGAAAATATCCATTCCTGAATTAAATTTGATCCAATCAGATTATTTGATTTTTTTCGCAAAAAAAATCTTTATTTTTCACTTTATTTTTGGAATGAACTAATTGCGTGGCTACTCAGTTGTCTTTAAAATTGTGATTTGCGGCAAGCGAAATTGAAAATTAGTACCATCCTCTGACAGCGATTTTCGCTAAAAAATAATTAGCAGAAAATCATCGACGTTTTCAAATCAATCAATGAAAAAGGCAAGGCTCGATTTTTGCATCTGCAGTTTGATATACAAATAGTGTAATGCATGTATGATTCGATCTTGTTTTATCTTAATTCCTCCTGCCGTGGCCCATTAATCAAATTAAGTAAATTACTGTAAAAATGAGTTCTGATTATATTTGATTAAAAAAATAGAACGTTTTAGAAAGTCGCTTTTAGAAAGTTCAACGTTTTTTACCCAGAATTTTCTTAAATTGATCCCATTTTTATGGCAAATTAAAAATATACAAGATTTTTGTCGAAACGTGTAGAGGACAGATTTTGAGCTAGAATTCGTTCAAAGCAATTTTTTGGCTGCAGAAAGGGTTTTGCTTTTCAGAAAACAACAAGCGACAGAAAAACTAGATAAAAAGATCAAAATTTGTTTCATTTCCACAAAAAGTGCTGAGAACACAAGCAACTTAGCTTTTTACCAAATATAAACAAATGCAAGTTAGTTCGCGAAAGTCGGACACCAATTTCCATAACTAAAATTAGTCATTTTTGAGTTCTTTAAGGTCAAATTTCTACTAAAAAAATAGGGTCAATTGCTGAGCAATACACATCAAAGTTAGTGTCAGTAATAGCTTAACAAAGATTATTTTGCTTACTAATTAATGAATACTCGCTGAACATCCGTGGAATTACTAGCACTCTTAGCAGAGTTAACAATTTTCTGTCAATGTCGGAACTTAGTATATCGCCACATAAGCCGAAAAAAACCGAGAAATTTGATATTTTTTAGGATCCAGCTACAAGCGATTTTTTTAACAAGTTGTTCAGCCTGAAAAAACTTCATAGTTTGATTCGATAATTTTTGCTAATCACGACAGTATTGGACTATTAATGGGAGAATGGGAAATAGAGGAATAAATAAAAACCGATCAGGTTGTCCTTTTAATCAGATTAGAGCTATTATTCAAAAGGGCAAGCCAGCAAGTTCCAAAAACTTCTTTCTCGTTAAATAAGCTAAGCGACTGTTAAATCAAAATTAACGCCATTCAAAAATGTTTAAAAAACCTTGTCTATTGTCTTTGAAAACAATACAAATTAAAACTTCTTATAATTATCAGCAGCTATATTTCTAAAAATTGTAGTTTATTCTCAAACTTTTCTTTTGAAAATAATTACACATTACACTAGATATTTTCGATCACAAATAATTGAAAACTCAAGACGCTCATTAAATCTTAGAATCAGCTTGGCTATTGTTTTTGAACAAGATAAACTTATTTAACCTTGTAATTGAGATCTAAAATAATGCTTTTATTTACAGTTTTGCATCATTTTTACAACTTTTCATTTGTACATCAATATACATTAAGCTAGAGAAAGATACGCAAAAAAATTAACACCAAACATGTACAAATATAGCAGGAAAAAACTCAGACTTTGCAAAGAAAATTTACATAAACAATTTTACGTTGCACTCACTATCAGCCGTGAATCGAAGTCATGAATTGTTTCACATTTAACTTCGTGTATATTGTATACTAATTTTGGTGACATATTACAATAGGCGGTAATTTTGAGCACTAATTGGTAATGAATATATTAAACTTGAAAACTATGAAGCATAATATAGCCATTTCACTTTCAGTCTATTTTACAAGCTATAAATATAGTTGTTGTAAATAAATTATTCTGCCAGATGAAATATTATTCAAAAATTAAATTTTAACCTTTTCTTAAAATCCGGCTTTGAAAAACAGAAAATGCGGCTCGAAATAAAACAAACATAGATCCAGCTATTTAACTTGGTTCTACTACCTATATCATATGTCACCTAGTTTTTTTTCTAAAAGTTCCAGCAATTCTTGTTTCATGAACGTACATTTCTTGAAACTGTAATGTATTCTTGTCTTTCAGCATTTTTGTTCCGGTCCTTCAATTAAACATTTGGCAAATTTTGGGATCTGGAACGGTTAGAAAAATTCGGAATTTCGAGTAAAAACACATTTGACTCTCATGAGTTGTTGGCTGTTATGAGTAGTTTGGCTGCCACTTCAATAATATTCTGATGGCAATTGTCTTGATGGCAAATAAACACTTGACGTCCATTCTCTTCTGCAAATTGGCGCCTGAAAAAACTCAACTTTGAAAACATAAACTCCAACTATCTAGTGAAAATATCTTAATTTTGAAAAGATAAACTTCAACTACCTGGCTGCGTTCAAAGTTTGATTGATTTTCGCAAACTTTGATTACTAAATAAGCTCAAAAAAAAAATCCTGACAGGCTACTTGATCGCTAAACTGTCTGGGAAACTTCAACTTAAAACTCGATAATGTAAAATTATTCAACGTCACAAAAAGTAATATACAACGTCACAAAAAGTAATAATCAACAATCGACAGCCATAAACCATTCGGAAAGAAACCATACTAACCCTATGATCCAGTACCGAATAACATTTGACTCGTAAACAGTCTTTCTCGATTTCCGACTAGTCGTCATTTCTGAATCAGATTGCTGTCTCGTCTTCTTTGCTTTGGCCGAACTGCCATTGGCTCTATACGTGAAAAGATAGCCGAGCTCATCGCAGTTCTGAACAGCAAAACACTTTTTTTAAACTAATTCCGATTTTTTTGTTTCCAATCATTTTAAGCGCTTCAAGCAATCAAACCTAATGTAAGAAATGTACAGATTGTATTGCCTACAAGTGTAAAACTATAAAACAACAGATACTTAAGAAACAAATTAGCCCAAATAAATATTTGGCTAAAATTTGTTTCAAATTATCTACCGAATCATTTACACATCACCAGCTAGAAAACAAATTTTACCCAAACAAGACTGCTCGTATCAGGGTGGAACCTTTTAATAACATAAAAAATTAAATGAAATAAAATAATGAGATGAAATTTTTTTTTCTTAAATTTGAAATTTTCATTCCGAGCACAAATATTCCGTTACTTTCGTATCGAAAGTCGGAACAATTATCAATTATCTGAAGATAAAAATCATTTCATGGCCCACTTAAATTTTACCTTTTTCTCAAATTGCTTTCTCATCCTTACAACTGCTTTGTAAAATTCTGCTACAATGTTCAAATGATGTTCGCCTCCCACTGAATTGACAATCTGGTCCAGCAATGGGTTGAATGCGTACAATCTACTAGTGGCGTTAGATGACGCAGGGCCAGTTTCGGTGGGTGGAGTAAAATGGTCATCTGGGTTATTTAGAAGTTCCTCTGGATTTGGTCTGAGGTCCAGATAATACAGAAGACTGTTTTCGATTCCAGCTACTACCCTGAAAAGAAAACCGCAAGCCATGAGAAAATTAAAAAAAAACTAGAAAACTCGCCCGAATAAAAATATATCTCTAAATTGAAGTTCAGTTCTCATGACTTCATTTTTATTTCAAGTTTTTGTATCAGAGAATAAATCGCGCATTCAAATTTTCAAAAATATATCTATTTAGTAGAAAACCAAACATGAAAAAATTGCACTCCATGATATATATTCCTCTAATTTTCACCGCTTAATAATCTACAAATACTCCAGGTAACCTTATAGTCATTTCACCACTCTTAATCTTCAAGTAAATTTTTGTCAATAAACAAAGTTCCAGTTAGGTTTTATTATATCGCGACTTCACTAGGAGTTATCGAATTACAGCAACATTTAAAAATTGTATTCACTATATCTTAAGAATAACACCGATGTAATAGCTTTGTTTTTTAATCGCGCGGTTCAATTCGATATTATCTCGCATCTTAGGTTTTTCAGTGTCATTCTTCAAAAAACTGTATAGCTTTTTGCATGATTCTTGGTGAGTTCTTCTGTACAAGCACTTTCATCAACTTATTGTATGTGTTCAACTCTCTCCTAAAAATATTTAAAATTCGTACTGTTTGGGATCAAACTTACTTTGCTGGCAGTGTGAGTGCACTGATAAGTTCTGTTGTTTCCACAGAAAGAGGCGGCCACTCTTCGTAAAATGCTGTCCGACTGTCCAGCGAAAACTAAATACAGCAACAACAAACACGATTAATTAAAAACAGACCAGTCTTTTTAAAAACGAGTTATTTAAGAAGGCAGCCAGCAAATAACCCAGGTTACTACAGTTCATGGCAAACTTGTTGTCCAAACATTTATAATAAACGCTCAAATTATTTCCCAGAAAAAAATCTATAATTGGAAGTCACGATTAAAACAAAACCGGTAGAAAACTTCAAGTTGATCAATTTCCCCTATTTTTTGTAAGCAACCAAAAAAGCAGCCAGTTTTTTTCTTCTGAAATTATCTCAATTCGTGTCAGGCTAAACAAATTTTAAGGTCTTTCCAAAGTTTTGACATTCTCAACTGTTATTTCCTTACTGAGTTTAATCAAGTAACTAGTTCTCGTCTGTATCTCAAATAATTACCATAGATCCTGACTTCTGAATTCCATCCGATGACCCAAACACATTCCTACTATTTGCCAACCCTCCTCCATTAAAGACAGGTGTGTTTGATGATGAATCAGAAGCTGATGATGATGCAAAATTAACATGATGACCATTGTTGTTGTGGTTTTGGTGGTGATTAACTATTCCTTGCTTAGATGAAGTGATAGGAGGTAGCTGGTCATTGCCATTTTCTGGCGCTTCCTTGGGCAGATTTTGAAAATTTGCTGACATTCGATTTCGCTTTGCACCCACTGAAACACACGAAAGTCTGCGCTTTTAGTCATTATAATGAGTTATAACCGAAGTGGTTAACTCATAGAGTAATTTCGGATAGGGTACACCGTCTGCTCGTCACGCTATCTAATTTTCGGCCGGATAGATTCGTGCAACTTCTTAGTCTAATACCGATCCTAATCTTACTCTTATACTATCTAGTCTCAGGTTGTTTAACTAGTCTCTGCTAGGCTCAATAGATCTAGGGTATACTGGTTTATTGCGGCTGCTGAAGTTCTCTTGGAGAGGCAACTAATTTCTAAGTTAAATTCAAATCTCTCTGGTGCTGAAATTACAAGTAATTTCAGCACTTACAATTAAGTGGGTTGTTAGTTTGATGGATCATGATTGGTTAAAATTAAATATTTAACAGTGGTAAAATATCTAATTTATCCAATCATAAAATGTAGTTTAGATCAGGTTCCACCCATCCGGGTTTTACAGAGTTTTTTAGAATTGTCTTTCTGCAATTCAATGGATGGATGATGGACGTTGGTATTTGGCGAACATCATATTCTTCTGGGTTCTCTTGTTAGAGAAGTTCCAGGACGCTGGAATGATGGATATCAATCGTTGTGTCTTCTTGAGACAACGACTGTGTTTCCCAACGAAATCAATCTGATTTCAGAATGGTTTGCTTTGACGGGTTTTTCTGTTTCATGTAGAGAACTTCTTTTGTGTTCGACCTCGTCTGGGAATGGCGTGGAGATTATGCGTGAAGGGGATGCCTTGTTACTCGGATCTGTACGTATACTTGAACATCGAGGTGGTCATTGGTCTAGTTCAATGAAGTCCTTTTCTGCGAAGTCAAGTCGTACTCTAAATCCTTTGAGTTGTGATTGTGGACGGCATATTGGTTGTGGTTGGCCATTCTTTTTCGAGTGTAGTGGGGTCATTTTGTCTTTGGATGTTCGTCTTTGGTGTTGTATGCTGATCTATATACTGCAAGGTATAATTTACATTTTATAAAATTTTTATTAGTTCAGTGTTTTAATTATGATTTTGGTTAGTTGTTTTCACAAAAGCATTTTGTTTTAGTTCGGTTATTTTGAAGAGTTACTCACCCTTGAGTACCTCTTATTAAAAATAGAAGTGTGGTCACAAAGCGTGGATGTAGCGCGGTGGGTTAGGCCGGCTATAGAGCATGCTCAGGACGTCCTCTCTGGTGGGTTAGGCCAGGAGTGGGAGTATGATTTCGTGCGGTTTCTGTGAGAGGTCCTGTTATGTGATAACGTTTTATGTCGGGTTTGTGGTGGTTTTTCTTATGTTTCGTTGGTTGTGTCCTTTTTTCAAAAATCAAATTGTTTTTGGTATGGGTTTGTCTTTCGACTTTTTTGTGTTTTATTATTTCTCTCTTAGACTTTATAATAGTCTTCAAAAGAATAAATTATCCAGTTTTAAACTGGGTTAATCCGGTTTGGGTACCGTTGGTTTTCTTTCCTTAGTCATGCTGTTATTTTATGATTTGCGGTGTTTAGTAAGCTGCGTTGGTTAGTTTGGTTTAGTATATAATTCCTTTCCAACCGGGTTAAAGGAAAGTTTGAAACTTGTTATCGTGTGTTAGAGTTGTTGAGTGTGAAAACTTGAAACTGAAATTCATTATTTAAACAATTCTTCGCGGGCGAGCTGTGCGAGTTTGGATAGAATTCTTGTGCGAGTGATAGAAAATATCAAAAGGTTAGTACTGCATTTTCGTCTTATCAATTTACTACATAGAATTTCAATTTTACTGCTAGTTTTGGGGAAAAATTAAGTTACAAATTTTCATCATTATTAGAATTACTGCTTTTGGGGAAACAATTTATAAGTTAATTTACTACATTGGTATGAATTTTATTATATTTATCTAGTGCAAAATATTAATAGAGTTTAGAAGAATTTGAAGTTTTCTATTTTTTATTTTTCTTTTGTTTTTTGCAGATGATCGTGGGATGAAGACTAAAATTCTAAATGAGACATGGATAAAGAATGGTTAGTTTTAATGTAAATTTATTAGTTAAGAATATGTATAAATTATACTTACCTGTTTAGTCGTCGGGGAAAAAACCGTGGGGGAAGATGTCGTGTATTATGTCGGAATTTGTTAGTAATTTTGCTAGTATGCGAATGATGTTTTTAGTTTGAAGCAGTGGCCAAAGCAATTGAAGTGCTTTAATAGTTTTCAGTTCTTCAGTGCCAACTGCAAACTCATAAGGTGTGTTTTGAATGAGATTATATAATTTGTGATTGTATTTAGTGTTGTGGATGAATTCTAATATTGGGATTTCAATAGGTTGAATAAATTCATGTGGGATAAGGAAGGGTCTGGATTCTTCTGCGTTAAGGGTCTTCGTGATGGGACAAAATACATACATTTGGGTTATGGGATCATAATTGCGGAGAATACCGTGAAGGTTAGTATCTTTGATGCAATATGTGAAGTTAAGAAAAAATGGTGAAGTGTATTTAGAGTTAATAAACTGAAAACGGTGGTGTGGTTGTCTTGATGGAGTGTGCAGATCGAAATGATTTTTGTATGAAACGATAATATGTATATGTGTGGGTTTGTTTAGTGCGTAACATAATGTCGTGTGAGCAGTGCAAATCGCGTTCATGTGGTGCAAGGAAGTTGAAGGTTAGTGAAAATTATTGAAATTTTTCTTTAAAACTTTCGTAAGCTTGCGTGTTGGTTAGTGCTTCAGAAATAACGTGGTCAAATTTGCGATCAAATATATTGAGTGTAAATACATATGGTGTTTTGATGAAGAATTTTTCTGTGATTTGTGGATTAGCGAAGCGATCATCATCTAAAAATTGGTCTTGGTTAGTTCGGATGATGTTGTAAATGGTCGGATGTTCTAGCGTAAATTCGTTAGCTCGGGGTGCAGTGAATGTTTTTAGTGATTTTTTTATCCTATATAAGTAAATTGTCTATGTGTTTGTGATGTGGTGAGTCGGTATAGCATACCTTGATTTCTTTCTATATCGATATGAGTATTAGCTAATGGTAGGCAAAGGGGATTAGTAAAATGATAATATGATGTCCAATGAAGTGTAGGCATTGAAACATGTTCATCTACAAAACTACGTGGGTCGTTAGTGTCATGAGGAGTGTTTAAAGTATACTGTGGAAATGAAGGTAAGGTGATTGCTAGAAAATCTTTCGTGTTAGTGTGATTTGGATGATTAATATATTCACGGGCTGTTCCTGGTTTTGTTGGAAATGGATGGTTTGGGAATTTTCTTTCGAAAGTGCGATAAGCTCTATTAGTGCTATTTGATGATTCGGTGGATGTGGATGATTGTGCTAATGATACGGTATAAGCTGAAGAGGGTGTAGGGTTAGGTGGGTTTGATGATTCTATTGTGGATGAAATCTGATTTATAGTGGGGGTGTCAAGGTGTAAGGGTTGTTGTTGTAGGGTGATAAAATTATCTAGTTCTTGGGAGATTTGGGGAATATCTGGAGAATTGGATGATCGGTCTGAATGAAATGAAGAGTAGGTTGGGATGACTTGTGAAGCGTAAGAGGGTGTAGAAATGGATGGGAGTGGGTTATTTGGTGGGATTGGTTGAAAAGGGGGTATTGAAAAAATTGAGGAGTTGGTTTGAAAATTATTGGATGGAGATGGTTCAGAGTCTGCAAATTCATCAGGGGTTTCAATATTAGGGTTATTGAGTTGTGAAATGGAGTATAAAACTGAAACATGTGAATTAGTGTCTGAATTCATGCCTGATGTTATATTACTGGTTTGGAAATCGGGTGGCGGGAAAGCAAAAAGTGGTATTATTGGGATTGGAGTGGTGAGGTCGGTTGGGTGGGAATTTGATCGGTGTAGGGATCCAAGTTGTCGGCTCATCGTGGGCTAAAAAAATTATTATTTTGAGACTGAAATGCGGTGGTATGGGGTTGTTCAATAATTTGTTCTTAAGTATTATCATCTTGTGACTGGTGTGTTATTATATGTTGTATGGGACTTTGTGATATGGTTGGTCTAAAATTTGGATTATGTGTTATTGCTAAATTTCGAAAATAGGGATAATGGATGGTTATGTGGTAGGGGTGGTAACTGTGGCGCTGTAGGCGTTATTTCTACATTATTATGTTCTTCGTCGTATGTGTTCTGTCTTGTTGCTATTTTAGTATTGTATTCTTTTAATTGTGCGTCTAAAAGAATTTTGTTTATTGATGATGAAAAAATTCCAAAGAATCCTGCAAATAGTATGCGTGCTACACTTGCTTGTCTATTGACTTGCGTGTGTATAGCACATGTGTTATAGATTCCTTTTAAAAGTGAAAAAAGAAATCCTATAAAGTTAAACATTGCGTATAGAATAGTCAACTTTTCTAAGATGTAATAGGGCCATCCTAGAAAATCAAGAATTTCATTTTTTAGTGTAACAAAGCTAAAAATGTTTATAGGCGAGATATCTTGTGGTCGGTATTTTTCACCGTTGAGATATATATATAGTCTTTAATGTCTTTAAAATATCCGCTATAATCTTGTGTATAGATATCTGCAAATCCTGCGGTTTCGGCAAGTTTGCGTAAGTTTTGGTCAATTGATTGTCTTTGTATAGTGTCCATTTGTGTTAACAATTCTTGGAGTTGTTGTGTTCTAATGTGATGTTGGATATCGGATTTCGAATATATTCCAATTGATTGTAAGTCGATATTTGGGTTTCGAGCAATAGCTCTGATGCTTTCTGGTGAAATCTTTTTGAGTGATTGCATTAATGTGGGGTATGGGGTAAGAAGGTAATATTGATCTTCATCAGGGTTCAGTTGTACTACATTGTGGCTATTTTCTGATCCACATGGTACTGCGGTATCCCAGAAATAGGTTCGTCATGAAAGTGTGTCAACGAAATGTACTTTATTCTTATAAAAGATAGGGATTCTTTTATAGCATCGTTTATCTTCAAAAACATAGTGGTGATACTTTTTTGGTACAGGTATAAAACCATAAAAAGTTTCCTTCGTAGTCTAAAAAATTTG